TTACAGCCATCTGCAGGCTCTTGAAGAACAAAGAGGAGGGGGGGTCTTCACTCTCCTCCCTACAGCACTTCAGAGGGATAACATGGCCAGATAAACATGCTTTTGCACTAGTTCTCTGTTCTACCTTGACCCCCACCCCCCAATCCACCCAAAACTGCCTTACGTACTATAAAGCTGAACATGTAATTCTCTCCTAACATGAATAGAGGCTGCTCATCAGCATCTACAGATTGTTCAAATCAAGATCAGTCAGTCTTTCTGGAACTGACTCATACCGACCAACACAAAGTGGGGAAACATCTGATCGTTAATGTGCCGAGGATGAGAACTGGCCCCAGCGTTCAGTTTCTATTTGGAAACCGTCACTTCCAGCTGTTACAGATTGTTGTGGAAATGAAACATCGTCAGCTGAGACTCTGGGATGTCTGGTAACTACTCCTCTCGCTCTCAGCTGCTGAGAGAAAAGCAGGGTGACTCACAGCCGCTGACTCACACGAAAAACTTGAACAGACCTCAGTGGCCTGTTGGTTGGCTGGGTTTGTTTTACCATCCTGGAACAGAATCATCATCCATGTAAAAAAAATGTGGACAATCACTAGCCAACATTTTTTATGCACATTTTGAAGTATCACATTAGAAATGGTGGATGGAAACGGTCTCAACAAATGTTTATACACTCGCTTGAGTTGGTTTTTGGATTTTTTGAAAAATAGTTAATACACTGTTCCTGCTGTCCAATAATTGTACCGGCTGCAGCTGGACCCTTCTCCCTCTGTCGGTGGCTTCTCATAAATTCCTGTAACATGAGGAGATTTGCGTTTCTTTCTCTCCAGACAGCATGTAACATCACCAATACTAGTTGATATGACTGAATAATTACAACGTCCGTGATAGTAACACGTTCCTGATAACGTCTCTCCATTGTCCTGAGATGTGCAGTCCCTGCAAGTTTGTGACTTTACTTCCTGTTTACTACAGCCTTGCATAATGACGTCTGATGTAATTACACTTTGTGTAGCCTGATTGATGCACCTGCTTTGGATGTTATCATCCATTAAATGGACATTATTAGTCGTTAGCAGGTCCATGGAATGGCTTCAGAATGAACCCGCTGGATTGATTTGCTCCAAGCCAGTTGATGGAAACATGTCTCTCTCAAAAATGCACATTAATTTTGGATGAAAACATATGACTATAGTTGAAGCAGCTGGACTAGAGATATGGGTTTTGTTGTTGTTGGTAAAGTTTTAAAGACTAATTCAAACAACAATGAAGCAGGTAGATGGAAATACAGTATTACTGTGCTTAGTGCAGGAAGCAATAACTGCCTGCTAGACTTTAATACAAACTAGATGCAAGATTTCTGGTTATTAGATGCTTCACTTTTCTTCAGCCATAATGTTCTCTGTCCTCCTCAGTTTTTATCATATCATACATTTAAATAAGAAGCTCAAATTTTTGGTTTTCATTGTATTAACTTAAACTTTTTATTTTTGTTGACCATGCTCAGTCTGTCCATCGTCAGATTTGTTTTCTTCTTTTCTCCACTGACTGTATGTCCTGATGCATCTCAGTAATCCAGGTAAAAAATCAAAAAGAAAAAAATTGTGTAGGTCTTCTGGACGGGTTCTTCTCAAATGAAACGTTTCGTCTCTTCTCCAAGAGACTTCTTCAGTCTGAGAGTTTCAGGCAAAATTCAGGCTTTCATTTTTTAAGAAGTCTCTTGGAGAAGAGACGTTTCATTTGAGAAGAACCCGTCCAGAAGACCTATACAATTTTTTTCTTTTTCACTGACTGTATATTGAGCTACCTTTCAGTCTGAATGAAAACAGTTTTGTTGTATTTTTACCCTGATTGAATCCTGTGTGCTTGGTCTCATTCCTTACAAACTGACTCAAAGGCAACAAGACTTTTTCTGTTCTTAAACTGAAGAAGCTCCTCAGAAGAAATTCAAAATGTTCTCAAGAATCGGAAATGAACTTTAGATGTTTACACTTCACAATGGTTGGGTATCCATCACCTTGGAAAAASAGGCCAAAGAGCTGCACAGATTCTCTCAGACACGAACCCTAAAGTGCATTTTGGCACAAAGAGGGAGAGATTTGTGATAGACCRTGATCATCACTGTGTTGGATTCAAACCAGTAACAAGCAGCTGTGGACAAAGTTGTGGGGAAAATTACTCAGTGAACCCGTGAAAAGACTGTTCAAGTTGAGAAAAATCAAAAGGGATACATGTCGGAATGTCAACTCTGGATCAAAAGATTTATGCACTGCCAGAAAAAATAAATAAATATAGATATGCTTTGCTGTGGCAGTGGATATAAATATGTTAGAGCAAATTAACTGATCAACTRGCACAAACACAAAAGAACTGGAGTATGCTGGCATTTGATGTAACTCTATAGGATTTAGTGAAATGACCCTAAACTAATACAGAAATAATGTATCTGACAGAAAGGAGGGTGTCACCAGTTTTTATTTTCCCCAATTGTGTTGAGACAGCTAAAACACTTCTATATGCCGACGACAACACGGTCTTTTCTAAAGCTCCAAAATCTTGAACCGTTGCGGAAAAACATTTTGATCAGTGTTAAACTGAAAACTAACTCTGAATTGAAAGACAGCAAACTTTTTTCTTCCGTTCATCCTCATGAAAACAAGTAATCCTTTTGTTGTAAGGCTACAGAACAAGCTAGTTCATCGAAACACAAAATTAGCTTTTGATGTTGACTTCATACTATCAGATTTCTCCATTTGCAGAGGTGTTTTTTTATTAAAGCCACCAAAAAAAAAACTGTGATTTTTCACTCCTCTCCCTCACCTGTTTACTCAAAATTGGTTTGCAGCGTATCATGCAATCTACTTTGTGACAAAGGCTTACATAACCATGACTGTTTGTTGAAATTTTAGGGTGGATTTCTTAAAATTGGACAAGAAACAGACTCATGATGTTGTAAATGCTTTGCCATCTTGTTCAGGACTCCCTGAAGAAAAAGTTGAGACTAAACAGGACCACCCAGGTTAGCTGCATTGTTCAGGTAGAACAATGAGAAAAAAAACTTGTAGTTTACAGAAAGCAGACATCTAGTTTTAATGGTGGATATCTATCATTGTTGACATTAACTGGGTTATCAGATCTTGGCACTGTGACCTCATTCCTAGAGCTTTGTTGCTGACCACTTCCCTCAGTGATTCATGTTTGCCCACACCCAACAGCGCCCCCCGATAYCTTCAGATTCTTAATTTCAGGGAACTTCCTGCTTTGACATGTCCAGGACAGAGTAACACGAGGACAACATATACTAAGTTTGTCTGCAATTCTGTGCAATTGTTGCCACACTGATATAAATCCTCCTTTTTGTGGGTAGTTCAAGCTGGGGTCAGAAAGAAGTGACAACAATGCAGGAAGTTGAGCTTTGTCAAAATGTCACATGATGTATTGGGAGAAGGACCACAGTTAGTGGACTCTTTGTTTTGGCTTATCAGACTGCAGCAGTAACTTCAGACGGACTGGAAGGGAGGGGGCAAAGCTGGGTCCCTCCACCCAGCCACAGGATGTTTAATGGGGCACTGAGGCAAGAAATGTTTGGGGAGTTGGTTGGGGAGTTTCACTCGCATGAGCTCCTGATGCAGCAGCATGCAGCTTTTGTGACTTTTTTTTTTCATTGAACCCCAAACACCATGCTAACGCTCCCAGCTGCTTAACTGCTAAAACAGATTTACTGCACTTATTTTACTGAGGTGTGTGCAGGACATTTTAATGCAGGAAGAAGAAACAGATGGTGAATTTACTGCAGTGGCTCGGTTATCTGCCATTCAGACACAGGTAACAGATACCCTTTATGTTCAGGCGATGCAAATTCATGGTCCAAGCTGAATGTTTGCTGCTACTGAGTGGAAAAGGACGTTGCTTTTTGATTGTGCACTTGTGCAACACGTGGTCAGAATGAAGCGAGCGACTGTGTGGCACCTCGGCCCAGTCCAGTCTGCCACGCCGCCTCCCTTAATGGCAATTTATTGCTTCCTGAATCCTGAAAATGGGAGGCAGGGGACAAGGGAATTCCAACCKCTGTTTTCAAACTCCTTCCCTGTCCAAACTCTCGCCCCCTCCCCCTCTGCACCCATCCTCTCACCCCCCGTCCTGAGTGCTGAACAGTCTCTAAATCTCTCCCGCCTTTCAGGCCCTTCTCCCTCGCCCTTGGCACGCCGTTTGTTCGGGGCTTTCAGGAACCTGATTCATGAGTACTTGAAGTGACTTATGTCTGGGAAAGGTTGAAACATGGAAAACAGCTCCTGTTCCCTAAACATCTCAGCTGCATTTGATGTGATTACAGAGAAAGAAACCCATAAAAGTAAAAATAAGTACAACTTAAACACAAAAATAGGGATTTTTTTAAACAGAATTTTTTAATAACACTGACAACATAAAAAATATTTACAATGCTGACAGAATATTTTTTTCTTTATTTATATTTTTTCTTATAAACATATTTACATTGATGATAAAATTAATTTACATCAGATAAAAACAAAACTGCACATTTTAGGCACACCACTTCAGCATTACGGTCATTTGGTAAAAAACCCACTCTCCTTAAAGATCCAGTACTTTGAAATCTGGATCATTAAAACGCATATTCTGTTTTGTCTTGAGTTACTTTTCCAAACTAAATATCCAACTTAACCAATATATATAGTCATCTTTATATGACAAAAACCTCTTGTTGTGTTTTTAGAACCAATGTCGATTGTGTATCTTCTGCTTTGGTCAAACTTAACCGATCTCCAACACATCTTGTAAGATTTGCAGAGAAAAAAATGTGTGTTGCTAAAATGAAACGTGTTTGTTTACWGATGAAAAATCTCAGATCGGCTACAGATTGGAAAAGTGCTTTCAGCACCACATCGAGCTGCTCTTGTAACTTTAGCTCTACAGGCTCTATTTGTCTGTACATATATTAAATTCTTGAATTGTTCCACTATGCTACATAGATTTGCTTTTTTAATATTTATTTTTATTTTTATTTTTTGGTTTTCAATGCTTGCAGCATTTCATTCTCTAGACCATTTCCTTTTCCTCTATGAGTGCAAACAGTTTTCACTGAAGACAACCCCCAGCATGTCGAGGGACATCAGTCGAACGTCATCGTCCCATATAATTACACACGATCAGAGGAAAAATACTGTGGAGGAAGCAAAAACAAGTTTGGAAATCCTAGACCACAGCAACACCTGCCCTAAAGAGGATCCTCCAGAACCACAGTAGAGGAACTTCTCATTATTTTCCTGAGTTTCAAACCAAGGATTCTCAAAGGATGTGAATAAATAACCTGACTGAACACCAATAGAAAGTTTTCAATAAATTWACGCTGACTGGCTGTGGCATCATTGTTCAATGCCAGGTTTTTTTTTTCAATCAACGAGTCGTAACTCCACCATTTCAGACCATGTGACTGATGGTTGCACTGAAACGGGTGTTCATTTCAGTCCTCAGCCCTTCAGGGAAGATCCGTTGGTAGTTCTGGGACTACAGTGGCCGTACTGTGGCCTCTTTCTGAACTGGGCCATTTTAGCACCATTTCTTTCTTTCTGCATTGGCAGACGAGCTCCTGCAGAGTTTTTCAGTCCACAGGCAGTTCACAGGGTATCTGTCGGGCCGCTTTGGCCTGAGCGTAAGTCCTCTGGAAGTCCTTGTAGCGGGGAGCGCAGCCGAGCCAGGCCTCCCCAAAGTGAACCCGGCCGGTGAACAGGAAGCTCCCGGGTCCTGGTTTGACGCCGCACTGAAGCAGAGTCCGTATCTCGCCCCGGCTGGCCAGGCGGCTGCTGCCGGTGAACAGTGCGTACTTCTGCCGGAACACACGGGTGGTGCTGACCTTGATCACCGCTGCCCGTAAATTCTCATCTTCCTCCACCGACCGGATGTTACCTCGCACCACTGAGGACAAACAGGACGTTCAGGTTAGATTCCGGTTCATTCTCCATTGTTTATTTTACAGTATGTCCTAAAATTAAATTTTAATAACAGAACAAAGGTCAGACGTTTTGTGATGTTGCCAATGTTTACTATTCTGTTTCAGGCTTAGTTCAGAGGTGATTCTTCAGGGCTGATTTTGGAAAACCCTGCCCTGCTTACTAACCCCTGTAATTATTGTTGGCAGTTCAGAGGCCTGCAGATGAATCCACTATGGTTTTTCTCACTTATAAACCAAATTGGTTTCAGTACTAATTCAGTGCTGGTGCTCAACCACTGCTAAGATGGTTCCAGCTGATTATTGGTTTGTTTTTCCACAAAAACCTCAGAGCTAAGTTAMCTGATTTAATGTCTCTTACATAAATCACTGTATCTTTCTAATACTCTCTGAAAATCCAGCTCTTAAGATATAATATACAATATTCATAAATGTTTACAGGTTATATTACAATTGTGCTGATATGATGTATTTCAAAACAAAAAGTTCTGCTGTATTTGCAGTTCTCATTTATGTGTAAACAGGTTTTTGATGAGGTACTTTATAAAATGGAGATTTTTAAAAACTCCATGTTTAATGTCTACATGCGTAGTTAACAAACTGAGATATTAGAGGACCATTGACACACTAATGTATTTCAAGTAATGTACTGCACATGTGCCAAAATTATACCCTGTGCAGGTTTGTCTCCAGAGTTGGGGACTGGGTTGTGTTTGCAAGATATTCAGTAACTTACCAAAGTCACTGGTGCAAACAGCCATCAGAATCTCTGTGTCATTGCAGGGTCTGCAGGCATCTGTAAGGACAGCAATGAGTATGAGAGTAAGGTAATGGACCTTATACAAATCTCTGAACAACTGGCAAAAAAAAAAAAAAAAACACAACCTATATGCAAATCCCCAGAAAATCAAAGATAGTATTTTCAGACCCTGCCATTTGAGATGTGGTCCAAACCTCAAAGCCAAAAACCAGCAATAAATGTTGGACCAACTATGTGTTACAAACGAACAGCTGCTACTTTTACAACTGGCCGAGGAGCAACAGAGGAGCTTGAAGGTGTGAGATTCTTCTATTGCACACAATTTAGAGTTCAAATAAAAGTCCCAGGATGTCACACCTCATCGGTCTAAACAAGGGAGGGAAAAGGTGAAGGATTTCAGACAACGTGTACAAACACAGCAGAGACATAAAATGCACTTTACACTTATTTTCCGCATAAAAAACATTTTCTTTCAAATTTGCTTCAGCATGCTTGCTCTATTTTTGTCTTATMTAGCTAATTTAGCTTTTAGCAAACTCTTTGCTACTTTGAGTTAGCTTTGTTCTACTAACCTTTTGCTGCGTTTTGCTAGCATTCAGCTACTTTTAACTGGCCTTCGGTGGCATTTACTGTTGCTTTTAGCAAACATTTGGCTACTTTTAGTGTTTTGCCAGTTTTAGCTAGTGTTTTCCAACTTTGGCATTCACTTTGCTTTTTTTAGCTTAAACAACTYAAGTTCAGCTTTTTCAGCAAATTTCAGAGAAGTTGATCAGCAATTAGCTTTCAAGATTTCTCTTCTTTCTTTTTTTATAAAATTTGCTAATAAACACACACACACACACGTATATATATATAAACACAATTACATTTGATGCCAAAAGGAGGGCAGCCAGTGTAATTACGTGTGTGCGTGTGTTTGTGTTGCAGAATGTATGTGGGTTTGTGATAGACTGATGAATCT